TGGAGCGGGCATCGGGCAGGCTGCAAACAGCTGCACCAGGCTCCGCAGCCCTGGGATTAGATCCATGCTGGCGGTGACTGCACACGCACCTCAGAGTGGACAGTAGTGATAAACCCGCTCTTTGCTCTGAGGTGCCCGTGCAGTTGCCACCAGCATAGAGCTGATGCCGGGGCTGCGGAGCCTGGGGCAGCTGTTTGCAGCCTTCCTGCTGCCTGTTGCAGCTGCCCCGAGCCCAGGCTGGCTACAGGTGGGAGCTGGCAGCAGCACCAGGCTTTTCCCAGCATTCGGTGGTGGCACTGGGGGGGCAGGTTGAGGAGGGCTACAGCGAATATTGGGCTGGCGGCAGCCCCCCTCCCATCACCACAGCCCATCCCGAGTGTTGGGAAGAGCCCAGTGCTGCTGCCAGCCCCAGCATGCAGCAGCAGCCTGCTCCCTCCTCCGTGCAGTGAACGGGGCCCCGGGCAAGCCGGGTCATGGGGCAATCTCCACAGTGCAGGAGAGCGCGGGGCAGCGACCTGCCCCTACCACACTTCCTCCTGCACTGTGGGGGTCTTGGTCTGCCTCCCCCACCTCCCCACAAGCCCAGGCAAGATAAAGAAAGAAACTTACCTGCCTGTGGCTGGGTTGGCGGAGAGTGCGTGGGTATCTGTGTGCCTGTCCTCCCCCTCCTGCAGCAGCTTGTGTCTGGCTTGGGAGGGTGGAGTGAGTGGGTGGACACAAACCTGGTGGTGGCAGGGAGAACACTGCCGCTCCCGTGCTACAGGGGTTTTCAGTGCCCGCGTACCCCCTGCCTATGTCTCACATACCCTCAGGTGTACATGTACCATGGGTTGAGAAACTATGCTTTAGGGTGGCTCTATGCTATCTCTACACTGCTTTCAAGGCTGCTGCTTAAAAGCAGTTGAGGAGGAGTGGGGTGGGGGGCAGGAGTAATGAGAACAGCTTAAACTAATATAGACATACCGTAAATCTCTCCTGATCGCCCCTGTGTTGGGTCCAAAGTTTAGCTTTGGTCTGGTTTTTGGAAAGGCTTCTAGTCTGGATTTGTAAATTTGGCACTTCCCACCACAGGATGTCCTAGTGGAGGTCTGGCTTCTTGGATGATCTTTGTCAAGTCAGTTCCTGGTGGGCAGGTCACTGTCCATGCTAATAACTGATTCTTGTTGGACAAGGTTTGACTCCATCCCTCAAGATGGCCACTCTAGATTGGCAGTGAGGAAGGTGTATGGTGTTGCTGGTCCATTCTGTGCCTGTTGTGTGGGTAAACTGCCAACAAGTCTTCATGCTGATCTTGTGAAACCACATCTAGATGCAAAAGGGTAGCCAAGGCATCTTGGCTTGTCTACTGGCCATGGGAGAGGAAATTCTGGTTATGTGAGCCTGTACAGAGTTCATTTCACATGTGCCGCCCAACTACCTTAAAAAAATAACAACTTTGAATGTGGATGAGATTTGAATCATCACTTAGGGATGGTCTGTGTGCCTATGACTAATAGCCAGCTATCCAGTCTCATGTCAATCCAGCCATCGAGAGAGGCCAAAACCAACACACAAATCCAAACATCCAAGTAATTCAGTGCCACTGCCTTCTCACCTCCTGCCCTGGTCATCTGTTCCATAGGCATCATCCTCACTTCTCAAACCCATGGACTATCCTGCAGACCATATTTGTGGCAGTGCGTGGGGTAATGGAGTGTGAAGGACTCTGGCTTTCTGCTTTTGCTAGTTTCAACCATCAGCTGAAGACAGCTGCATTTCTGTCTGCTTTGCAGTTGGATGAAGCCCATAACCAGGCCCGGAAATTGCAGAGGTCCCTGGATGAGCAGACAGAACATAGTGAGAATCTCCAAGTGCAGCTGGAGCACCTGCAGTCCAGGTGAGGGGCCCCACGGGGCCATGGGAAGCCCATGCAGATAAGGCACAGGGGAAGGACTGTTTGGGAGGATGGGCATGAAGAAGGTGAGAAAGAGGAAGTGAAGTCACTGGGGAGGTAGAAGAATGGACATATCAGAAAGCAAGTAGTACAAGGAGAGGGAAGCAAAGACACGATGGTACAAGAGCTGGAATAGACACTGATGATGTAAATGGGAGAGGCGGGGCTGAGCAATGTACACCTTGCACTGGATTAGTCAGGATTCTCTTTACACCCAAATATGAAACAGGTTAGTTAATCCTGGTGTGCATACTCATTTCAATTTGAGGGGCCCATTTCAGCTTAGTTTAAACCTGTTTCTGATCTATGTTACCTAAACCAGAATCTGCCTATTTTAAACTGAAATAAAATCATGCATGCAGCCTTTGGGAGAAGTTTAACATTTCACCAGGGCCAGGGCAGCTGAATGAGCCTCCATAGTGGGATCCAGGTCTCTGAGTGCCAGCTCCCTCTACTACTGAGAGCTTGAGGTTTGGTTTGCATTTTGTTTCCTTCTCTCCCCTGTGATCTGATCCACTGCCACTGTTAGACCCAGGAGACACTCAGAATCCTCCCACCTGATGCGTGCTGTGTCCGAGCAAGGGTCTCTCAGAACCAAACTGAAGCTAGGAAGTACCCAAACCTAGCCCTGACTCTGCCTTTTTGGTGGTACTTGTACGGAGAGCTCATGTCTCCTGACTTGTACCTCCCAAAGTCACGGAACCACAAATGATGCCATAACTAGTTAAGGGAAGGTTGTTAAACAGATGCCATAACTAGTTAAGGGAAGGTTGTTTGGGTCCTTGGGCAAACTCCTGTGGAAGCTATTTGCATATTCCTGGATATACATTAGTCTGATGCCTCCTGCTGGGAATGACGACTGGAGGAGGATTGTACCAAGGAAGGGAAAGGTGGGGGGAGGAATCTGACCCGTGAGTTATTTATGAAGTACAGCTGAAGGAAATTCTCTTGCTCATGACAAATTGCTGCTCTACAGCAAGATGACTTTCCAAACTGGGCTAATCCACTTAGCATCTCCCCCTTCCCACAAGGGATGCCTGTCAGCTACTGATGGGAGGAGAGGGAAGGAAGTTTTCTGAGGAGGGAATGTCGGGCAAGTGATTTTAAAGATACAACTTATCAGCGTGTGTAGTGATGGATCGCCAGGGTCTGCAGGGGCCTGTTTTCTCCTTCACGCTCACTCTGTCTTTTTGTCACTTTAATTCAAGAAAGGTCTGGAAGCTAAAAGCAGGGGGAAATCTACCTCCATCCCAGCAGTTTGGAAAGCCAAGGGCAGCATCCCCTAGCAACACCCAAACCTTCCTGCTTCTCACGGCTGCTCAGGCAGTCTTACACAAGGAGACTTGGTTTGCACTTTGCAGCTGCTGCTTGGTCACCTTCCAGACACACTGCGAGGCTTTTTAAAGCATTTTTTTTTCTGTGTGGTTATTTTCTTTCTACTGGGAGCAGGGGAGACCTATTAACCTTTCCCTTTTGCTGGGAACCTTGCCCTAAAACCCTGAAGGGCACAAGCAGCACTGTGACATGGGGGCAGGAGGCCCAGCTTCAGACTCTCCTTACCCACATCCAAGGGTATATGGGATTCTTGTCCTCTCCTGGGCCAGCACTCACCATTCCCAGAGGCGGCAGCTGGCCTAGCTTGGGTTGAAGTCTAGGGTTACATTATATGGGTTGCCCCAAGATCTTGCCATGGTCCCTCAACAAAGAAAGTGAGGTAAGGACCTGTTTGTAAAAATATGCAGAGAAGCTTTTCAGGGGAGAAAGTCCAGGCTTCTCCTCTGTGCATCACAAAGAAGCCAAAACAAGTCTCAGATATGGTTTCAGTCTACCATTCCCCTTTAAGCACCGTATGTGAACAAAGTAATGACCCCAGCATGGACACATTATAGTTCCTGTAATGGGCAAGGGGGCAGGACCCTTTGCTGTCAGAGTTCCTTCAGCAGAGCAAGGTTCTTCTAAATTATTCTGGCATATTTCACATGAGCAAGGTGATACCATATCACAAGGCAGGTGAGACAAGGCTTTGGATATGCCCAGTACAAAGGCCTCATGGATATTACAAGCGGAGATGCCATGGTACAGCATTCAGGTGGGGTGGGTGGAGATCAGGATAGGCAGTACTCATAAAAGGGTGGTTCTTACTTCTGGGGTCTTGTCTCTGCAAAAGTGCAGCCACATAGAGAAGGTGAGGAGGACCTGGAATGAAAGTGAATGAGTTCAGCAACTGTATTTCGAAGGGTACTGATAGGCTTGTGAAAGATTGGGGTCAGGGGAGCTCATCACCCTCTAGGTTCTCTGTTGTGTGACAGAGGACACTGTGAGCGGAATGGGAGCTGGGTCCAGCTAGGGAAAGTATGATACTTTCATTGGCCTCTGACTACTGTTTCTTACCTCCTGTGCCAAACACCACATGCTGTTATAATAGGGTGAGCAAAACAACCTGGAGTCACAGACCCCAGCTATTGACACCATCTCTCCACTCGTGCTGTGGTCATCAGTGTCACTAAACTGCAGGTAGCAAGATGGGACTTGTCCCAAGTCCTGGATTCCTTGCTCTGTGAAAGGCAACAAATGCACATCTCTTATGTCCACTGATACCTGAGGGGCTGCAGAGATGACTTCTCAGTTTGGCTTCATCCTGGTAGTCCACCCAGTTTACAGCATGTGCTAGGAAGAGCTCTCTGCCCTAGATCTGAGCATAACTGGCATAGGCATTACCTGCCGGCGGCATGGGTGTGATAATGTGGTCTGGTCCCACTGCTCTGGGTCAAGAGATCTGCACCAAGATTCACCAAAGCGATTAATGGTTTGGAGCATCTCCTTTCTGGGGTTCCCAATTTGGGATGCCTTCCAGGGTTTTGACTGTCAAAGTATGCTTATCATGCCTCCTTTGGCAACAAAGCCCTTTTCTGGTGGATCATTTCAAAACCCAAAATCACCAGTCCCTTTAGAAGAGCTTGGCCCTGGCATAGTTCTGTCCTTGGGCAAGTACCTGCTTCTCTTCTGTCTTCTGTGCAATGGGATTCATGGACCCGTCCTTTACAAATCCCTGTGCAATCAACAGATGAGCCATGCCAGGAGAGTCAGCATCACCGTTTCATTGCAGTTAGGATGTGCTAGGGCTGGGACAGCTTGGAAGACTCACTAGAACACAGCTTGCTTCAGCTCTCAGTAAGGGAGAATGTGCTAGTCTAGGCTTACACATTAAAGCATCACTTATACAGTCTGTCTGCTTGTAATCATCCCATCTTGTGGTCAGCCATGCAACCCAGGTTCCAGTCTTCTGGACCCACTTCTCATTGCCCATCATGCAGTAAGGCTCCTTTGAAGTCACCCTTTGGGTTTGCCGCTATAGTCCTCTGCTATACCGTTGGTAGGAAACAAGCCAAGCAACAAGCAAGTCTCAAATTCTTCAAAGTCCTCTGTTTAGAATGAGCTAACAGGGTTGTAGGGGGAGAGCACAGTGAATGGGAAGTTGTGCCAGGCCAGAGAAATGACTTGTGGTCTGAAAGGCACTTGGGTTTTATGGCTCTTAAAAAGTTCCCTTCTTTTCCCCCTATGCCTCTTCAGCAATAAAATGCTGAAATAGATGCAAGACAAATCGATCCTGCCCCATCCAGAGTGCCTTGCGGAGGCAGCTGGGCTTTTTTAAAATCTTATTTTATTTTATTGGGACATCTTCATTAAATCATACAGGAATAATGGAGGCTTCATCTCCTTCCATCCCCCTCCCCCAGAGCCCCCACTACACTATTGCTGAATAATTCATGCTTTCCAGGAAAATGCAGCAAATGTGTCCATTTGGCCCAGAGGATGATGGGAGAGCTGTTTTCATCACAGTCTCAAGCCCTTTGATTTCAAATTCGACTCATAAATTCAGCCGATGCATTTTAATGCTATGGAGAGAGAGGAACTAAAAATACTAAGAGCTTCCCATTGACAAAGAGCATATGGGCTTGATGCAAAACCTATTGATGGTGACCAGCAGCCCCCTGCTAGCTGCAGGGAGCGGTGGAGCTCTGCCAGGAGCTGTGCTTGGTACAGGGCTGCTCCTTCCTCTCTCTCCATGGCACTGGTGAGTCACCCAGTCCTGAACTGAAAGTCATCATGGGTACTGTTTTTGCTATCAGAATAGGGTCGAGACACCCTTCTGCAGGGGTAGCTGTGCCTCACCCTTACACAGCAGCCTACATTGGTACATCTGAACGCACTTTCTGATGAAGGGCAGCGTCTTAACCTGCCTTTTACAGATGGGGAGGTACCAGGAAAGCCTCATAGTGAGGCTGAGTTTGCTGCAGCACAAAACAATGGAACAGGGTGTCCAGGAAACCCTAGTGACCCAGTAGAGAAGCATAGCACCAGTAAGTATACAGTGTCAAATGTGCCGTTAGGTGTGGCCACTTAGGACCCAATCACCCAGTTATGTCAGCAGCAGAGACAGCCAAAGTGCTCATTCAAGGATGCTTCAGGACACTGGAAGATTTGGGTTCAGGACAGACCAGGAGGGCATGTGTGCAGGTGCAGAAAGGGCTCCCTCTCAGCCTCACTCCCTGGTTCTGAGCAGTGTTGCAGCATGAACTGGTTTCTAGCCGTGAGGAGCACCCCAGGGGATCCCCGTCCTTCACAGATGCCCCCAGGTTTAATGTGAAGGGGCCACATCTGTTTTGCTCAGGCAGCTCACAGGGGCTGAAGACCATCAGATCTCCCTGGTCACAAGCCAGTGTAGCCAAAGTACCCGTCCCCCACTGCAGCCTTAGCAAAGGGGGCAGGGAAGAGGTAGAGCTGCCATTTAGGGGCCATACAAGCTGGGATAGCTCAGAGGTTATTCTGCTTGTGCTAGTCTGGCAGAGGCCTGGCCCCAGAGGCAGCTGGATGCTGCTGAGACTCCAGCCCAGCCTTAGGTCATGGGAGGGTCGTATTAAGGAGAAACAAACCCCCTAGAAAATTCCCAGAATGGGAGTGAGGTGGGTCTAGAAGGTCACTGGGTGGCTTACATCCCTGCTATCCTGCCCCCAGTCCTGCAAAACCAGTTTGTCAGAGCACAGTACAAATCCCTGCCCCTACTCTTTCCACTAGGGGAAGCTGGGGACAAACACCCAGAACTGGTGGCCTTGAGAAGGGACCAGGAGTCATGGCATTTGGATCAGGGTCCGAGTTGCTTCTAGGACAGACTCTGTCTGTGCCATAAACTTACACAGTGCCTGGCTCCAATCTCCTCTGTGCCAGCTGCCTCTAGAATCAGCAGCAGGGCAAACTAATTAATTTGGAGGGAGGCAAATTGCCCCAACAGTGCGAATTAGCCAGCCCAAAATGCCACATGGACCTGGCTCTACTGTTTCCAATTTAGGAGGCAGCCTGTGCAGAGCCATGTGACCTAGTGGAGGGCACTGCTGCCCAGCACAGTACATTTATCATGTAGGCCTTGTTTCAGGGGGTTGGAGTCTGCGCATCCAGCTCAGAGCTATAATGAGATGCCCTGACAGAGCATGGAAGCACTAGGAGACCCTCATTCCCAGCAGTGGCGATGAGAGTCCTGTGCTCTAGGTCCAGTGAAATCCTGGGTGTCCAGACCCTGCAGTGTACTGCAAGTTCTTATGCTGAGTCTGCTTTGGGACAGCTGGGCCTGCTCTCCTCCTCCTGCTTCCTCCCCTCTACCCCAGATAAACAGCTTTAGACAATTATGTGCTGCTGCTAAGTACCCTGTATCTGAAAAGGGCTTTAAGTGAACTTGGTCACTTTAATCAAAAGTCCATTAAGTGCTGCTTGGAGCCATGGAGGGAAGGGCTGTTCAGATTTGGCTTTATCAGCCAGTAACACCCACTTAGCTAATGAAATTGAAATGTGGAGCCCAGGACAGAGGGGAAAGAGAGAAAACAGGTCTTTGCCCTTCTCCCAGCTCCAGCTGACTGTCACACCTCTGCCTGCAGATCTGGGCCCTGGAGTCTGGCCTGGCTGGGTACAGAAATCCAAGCCAGCATCTTCCCCAGGGGCTGCACCCTTGAATCTAGCTGGGCACTAAAATCCACATAAATCCAGTACCAGCTCTTCCTATTGTGTTGTGTCACAGGGATTGTTTTGAAAGGTGCCTGGGGCCTCTGCTTAGGAAAAGTGGGTGAGAGGGTCTCAACAGGGAGATGACAATGGCATGTTTGTGGGACTTGGGGAGAGGGGGAGGGAGGGTTTTGGATGAGTTGCAGGGGACCTGCCCCTCCACAGCTCCTCATATCAGCCCCATGTGGTATCCAGCCTTCATTCCCAGCACCTGAGAAGATTCAAAGCCACAAGGAGGCAACACTGAGAAAGCAAGCGCTGTGGTGTTTATAGCATGATGTGCGTTCCATCCCGCACACACCTCCCTCTGGGGCTTGTCCTCACAGTGGGGCCTTGGCAGGTATGATGGGTGAACAGAAAGGTCAATGAAGCCTGTGGATAGGTGGGCCCTGAAGCCACGGTAACGGTCATGGTACAAGAGTCAATGGACAGGAAGAGGGGGGGACATATGCTGAGAAAGGGAGAGGACCATGGCAGAGAGAGAGGAGCATATGGTGATAGACTGACATATGTGAAGACACATGTATATGTGTAGAACCAGACAGATGGATGAATAGAGGGGTAACATACATAGGACCTAGGTAGTTTTGAGACCAGGTGTGGGCAAAATACAGCCCATGGAATGGATCTGGCCCACCAGGCACTTTCATCTGGCCCGTGGTACCCACCAATGAATCGTACCCTGCCCAGCCCTTCTGCCTACGAGGGTGGGAGTGAGGCACCCATGTATACACCGCCCCCAACATCCCCTCTTGCGCCTCACTCCCACCCTTGTGGGCATAAGGTCCTGGCCTGGCCAGCATGGAGCTTCCAGGCAGGGCTGCTGCTGTCACTGCTGCAGCCACTGGGGGACCTGCTCGGCTTCCCCAGCGGCCCTCTTCCAGGCAGCAGGTAGGGAAATGGTGGGGGTGAGGGTGGGAGCGGGGGTGGGGGGAGCTGCAGCTGGGCAGGGGCAGGGAGCGTGGGCCGGAGGCTGCTGGCAGCAATGAGCCTGTGCCCAGGGAGGTGGTGAGAGTACAGAGCTCAGATGTGCAGGGTGTGGGTGTGAAGGAGGGGAGGGAGGTGGGGGGACCCCTCCCACACTTCCCTACATGGCGCGCAGCCCCCACTGGTGGCAGCAGCAGCAGACAGAGGCACTTTGGGTACTGGTGCCCAGCGCAGGCACTGGTGCCCAGCAGCACATGGCTCTGGCCAGTGCTGCACATCACGGTGAGGGGTGCAGCCCTGTTGGACCAGCTATCACGGGTGCTTCCCACCATGCATGCACAGCCCCTGCACTCACACACCACTGGAGGGAAACTCCACACGCTGGAACCAGCTGCCTTCACTGCTCCCTGCCACACAGGTCCCGGGACTCTGCCAGAAATGAAGGGAGCCCAGGCCCCTGCTTCCCTGGCTGGAGTTGTGCACTGCTGAGCATCAATACTCCAAGCACCCCTGCCTGCTGCTTCTGTGCCATGGGGGGAGTGTGGGGGCCCCATTCCCCCTTCACCCCACAAATGCCACACACCCACACCCTATCCCCACAACCCCCCACATATACACACCCCAACATACCCTATGCCCCCAAGCACAGCCACGCCCCCTCCCAACCCAACACACACACCCCACCATGCCCCCCCCACAATATACAAGACTTAAGAATTTATTTTTGAGTTATGCAGTCACCTCTATATACACTACACAAACACAAATCATGACAAAAATATTTTTTGTAATAAAATTAAAATATGTTATAGTAGGTGTTTGACTTTCATTGTATGATTTGGTTATTTTTCTGGTTCTAAGATGGCAACCCCCTCCCAAAAGGAGTATTTCTTGGGGGGCATGTGAAGGGACTTCTGGCAGCAAAGGTCAGGGGTAGGAGTGGGTCTACCCATGTGGCCCTCAAAAGCTCACCAAACCTCATTAAGTGGCCCTCCAGCCAAAATAATTGCCCACCTTTGTTTTAGACGGAAGCTTATATATATATATGGAGCTTGATTTATGTTCGTGTGTATATATATATACACACGTAGATAGATAGATATGTATATTTGTGTGTGTGTGTGTGTGTGTATATAGATATATATCTATCTATACACACACACACACACACACACAGAGAGAGTGAGAGAGACAGAGACAGGAGGGGTGTGTACATACAGGCTCTGTTGCAGCACAGCGTGAGGGCGCTGGCTGCTGTCCCTCTTGCAGCCTCTCCAGCAATTTGGTCTCTGCTCTGGTTTTACCCACCCCAGGCTACGCAGACAGCAGAATACGCCGCTCTTTGGAAAGATCCGAAGCTCCCGGTTTGGCCCCGAGGACCCTGGCGATGGCACCAGCGACCTGGATGAAGACGAAGACCTGCAGATCCAGGTTCCCTAGTGCCCAAAGTGGTGGGGCCATCAGACTGTGGCTGGAGGAGGCAGGAGGACGAGATGGTTTGGATTTTCTTCAGGCTGCAGCTATACACAGGTGGTGTGAGGCGTGCTCTGTTTGACAGACCTTGCAATCCACTGTTGGATGAGACAGGACCTAGCAAAGAGCTGTGCACCACAGGGACTGGAGCAAAGAGCCCAGGCTTCCCTTGTGGGGGATGGAGATAGGGCATGCTTTGCCTTTTTGTGGCTTATACAAGTGGGTATTCAACCAGGTTAGGAAAGGGATTCAGGGGGATCCTGCAAGGTTGTTAACAGGTTATAACAAGAGTGAGGTCTGAGGGAACTGTACTGAAGTGCCTGGAATGCCCCCCTGGCCAGAGAGGAAAGGTCACGGGGCCAGCACTGTGTCCATGGTGCCTGCACCTGAGGTGTTGCAGACATGTGGCAGGAGCCTGAGCCTGTGCCTCTCCACCTCTCCAGCCTGTCTCATTCTCCCTCTTGCCAGCAGCTCCTCCAGGCCCTCCTCTGGCTATCTCCCAGCACTTGGTTTTCATTGATGGGCCGCTTTCTTGTGCCACAACCCCTTTTCATTCCTGGCTTACACACTCACCTTTTGTATCTCCACTGCTGTAGACTCACATGAACTGAGCCTGCAAGCCATCGCCTCTATTTTAAAGACAGGGAAAACTGAGGCATAGATGGGAAGTAAGGCTGCAAGGCCCATACTTCAGCCACTAAGCCATCCTTTGTCCCTCACTCCCACCTCAACAGAGGAACCTCCCAGCAAACATGGACACTGAAACAATACAAGTAGCTGAATGCTTGAGACCCAGACCTGTAACAACCAGGGGTGCCAGTCCGGGGCAGAAAAGGAGTCGAGCAAATTTGTCTCTCTCCCTTGGAGTGCTGACAGTGAAAGCCAATGCCTTCTATTATATATATATTTGTATTTGTATGTGTTTTATATTATAAATATAGAGCGAACAGTGGGACCAGGCTACTGCAGCAGTTCATATGCTGTGGTCCTTTCCCCAAGTTACCTCACCGTATCCATGTTAACCCTATGTTCTATTCTGTTTTGCATCTGTCTGTTGGGGAATGTTCTGGCTGTTCTTGCCTCTGCCTCTACTCAGTCAATCTGTCCCCGTGCCAGCCTGCAGGGTTGCACAGGCAAATGGGGGAGTCAGGCCATTGGGGAGTGAGTGGCTTATTGCATAGGGGACTTCTACACCATCTGACAGCTGCAGGGGTTTGTAATAAATTGAATTGGTGCTAAAGCCCCGTGTGTGGATGGATGTATTTGTTACCTGCTGGGGTCCCTGGTGGGGGAGAGTGCCCTGTGTTTTTTGCTGGCCTCTCTCTCTCTGCAGGTGGGTGACATTGTTGTGAACAGGCCCTGACAAGTTCATGTTGTTTTCCCTTCCTTGTTGCAAATGCTCTTCCCTGCAGAGCATCCCATGAATAAAACAACAGCTCTTGCCATTACTGTGACACCCAGTTGGATTCTGCAGATCGACTAATAAGGTTCTTGGATACAAGCCTGAAATAATGGTAAAAAATTAAACCGTAATGGGCTGTGATAATTTTATAGCAAGCCTGGAGTTTATTTCCATGATAATATAATGTGAGGTAACTCCAGTGAGCTCACTTCCTCCAAATGCACCTTCTCTTTCTCTTCCAAGAATCCTTGGAACTAGGTAGGAGCAATTTAGGGCTCCTCCGAGAAGGAGGCACTGTAAGCAATGGTGTAGGGTAAATTGGCTGCAACAGTGTTCACTCATATCCCCCCTGGTCTCAGCCAACAGGAGGTGCAGTAGGAATTGGAAGAAAAACCTTGTAACTTTAGATCTGATTGTTTCAAGGAAGAAAAGGCAGCTGGCAGAGAGACAAAAGAAAGCACCTTTTGCCATTTGTCCTGCCATTTTTTCCCCACTTGCCTCTGGAGCGCACAGAGCCATATTCAGCTATGGTGTAACCTCAGTAATCTCATTGTATTCCCTTGAGGATTAATCTAGCCCGTGATCTTCAAAGTCTAAACACCTCCTCCCAGCCCAGGGGCAGCTTGCATTCAAGCAACTCCCCTCCCATACTCAACAGCCAGGACATTCTCAGACATACAGCAGACCCAGTCAGAAAGGAAGGGTATTTCACTCCAGACTCATTGGCACCTAAAACAAGATAGTGTCTGTGCAAGCATGGTAATTACCTCCTGTGTCTTCCTCTGACCCCAGTTTGCAGAGGGGAAGTCCAGCAATCTAGAGTTCCTGCTTTTACCTGGAGCTGGGAGAGCAGAGCAAGGGGAAGGGAACTGAAATTTGCTTTTTAGGGAAAATTACACTGACAGTTCTGACTTCACATATGCAACATGCTCCAGGAAAGCTGCCCCAGTGCTGTCAGTGATTCCTAGCTGACCAGACAGTATTCAGTGTTCAGGCTTGGAATTCATGCCCCTCTAAAGAAAGCTCTTAGGGGAAAAACCAAACAAAGCAAAACAAAAATCCCGAAATGCTCTGATCTTCGGGAATGTACAACTGAGGTTCCAATGTGTCAACTTTCATCCTGTCTGCTCCCCCCACCCCCTCCCTTGTTTCTGCTGGGACCACTCAGTGGTTACCAGATTAAGCAACTGATACATCATACGCTAAGCCTGTGCGAATAGGGAAGTGTTCAATTCGGATTCAGATTCAGCTGATTTGGAGGACAGCGATTGTATTCAGAGATTTGGATCACTGTCCTGAATCGATTCGCCGAATCAGCTTTGGAAGATTTAGCAAGATTTGGTGATTCGGATTGGCCAGGGAGAGGCAGGCACAGCCGGGCAGCTCCTCTGGTTGTGCCTGCCTCTCCCCAGGCAGAGGGAGCTGTGGGAGAAGCCCCCATGGCTGCCCTGCCTGGCCCTATCCCCTGCCCGGCCCCACCCTAGTCCTGGCACTTTAAAAAAGAAAAAAAGAAAAAAGCCAGCTACAAGAGTGGCAATTGGGGTCTCTGGGTGCTCATGGCAGAGCCCCCCCCATCCCCCCCCAACACAGCATGGGGCAGTGGGGGGGCAATGGGGATCACCTCCCACTCTGCTTGGCACTTGTGTGACAGCTGCCCCGTGGTGTGGGTGCAGCGTGGCTTGACAGGGCGCTTCATGCTATCTGGGAGCTGGGGTCACTGGGGCTGAATGCTGCTGGGCTTCGGCTGTCTGCTGGAGCCGCCCCACCTCCCAGACAGCATGTGGCACATGCTAAGCCGCACTGCACCCACACAATGTGACAGTTGCTCCATGGGTGCCAAGTGGGGGGGTGGTGATCCCCGCTGCCCTGCAACGATCACTGCTGCCAGAGCTGGTGAGTGCGGGGCTTTTGTTCTTTTTTTTTAAGTGTCAGGAGGCTGGTCTGGGCAGGGGATGGAGTCGGGCAGGGAAGCCATGGTGGTTTCTCCCATGGCTCCTCTGGCTGTGTCTGCCTCTCCCTGGGCAGGGTGAGCTGTGGGAGAAGCCCCCATGGCTTCCCTGCCTGGCCCCATCCCCTGCCCAGCCCCAGGCCCCAGCCTAGTCCCGGCACTTCAAAAAAAAAGAAAAAAAGCCCTGTACTCACCAGCTGCAGGAGTGGCAATTGGGGCCTCTGGGCGCTCGTGGCAAAGGACCCACCTGCGCAGCATGGGGCATCACCTCCCACCCTGATTGGCACTCGTGTGGCAACTGCTCCATGGTGCGGATGCAGCGCAGCTTGACAGGGCTCTGTATGTTGTCTGGGAGCTGGGGCTGCCAGAGCTGAGCACTGCCGGGCTTCAGCTGTCTGCTGGAGCTGCCGCACCTCCCAGACAGCATGCGGCGCCAGCCAAGCCGCACTGCACCCACACAATGCGACAGTTGCTGCATGGGTGCCAAGTGGGGGGGATGCAGCTGGGCAGGGCAGCCATGGGGGCTTCTGTGGCTCCTCCCGCCGTGCCCGCCCTGGCTGGGGGGGGGCCACTTGCCCAGCCGGCGCAGGGGCGGGGCGTGATGCAGGCGCGGCTTGCTCCAGGCGACAGCAGAGCGTAGCCCCCGCTCCCAGTGCTGCCGCACCTGCATCAGTGCTCGGAGCAGGGGCTCTACCCTGCCCTGCTGCTGCTTGCCAGCCGGCACAGGATGCGGGATGTGGGTACGGCAGTGCTGGGAGTGGGGGCTATGTTACCAGGCAGGGCTGGTATAATGAGAACAAGTTTGTCTTGGGGATCTACTCTAGAAATGGCCCTTGAATTATCCAGAGTCTGCGCACTGGATGAGTGGGTCTTGTCACAGTGCTCAGCACGAGTGAGCACAAAGTCAAACGATCCATTGCTGTATCTCAACCCTTCATGGGCTGCCTGCCCCAACCTCTATAGGACCTACTGGGGGAGGTCGTAGCTGGCCTGTATGTACCCTCTTCTCTACAGTTCCTCCTCTTAGGAGAAGCTAGGACTGAGAAAGCTACAAGCTCCCCATTGCCCATGAGCACCCTGTTCCCAACAGGGACCCAGTTGGGAGACCTGTATGGAGCTGGCCGGCTTCCTTCCCAGCAGCTTCTCTGGCCTGCTCATTGCTTTAGATCACTACTTCAGAAGGAGGCTGATAAGGAGAATAGGACCATGCATTTCAGTGGGCCCCAAGGAACAGAACCTCAGACACATGAGTGTAACATCTGCCTGAAGGAACAGAAAGGGCTGCCCTGCAGAGGGACAGAGTGTGAAGAGACAGTTTGTCCCCGTAGGGACACCGTTTGCCCTGAGGGCAAGTGAAGCTGTTTTGGAGGTAGCCCTCTTGGAAGTGGGAGGGGTGATGTAATCACAGCAGGGTTTGAATGAGAGATGTTAGCAAAAGCCCAGGATGAGCCCTGGCCTGGGATTGGTTAAAAGGCTTGGTTAAAAGAGGGGAGCAGTTTTCCTGGTGGGGGAGAACAAAGGAGAGATGTGGGGTGGGAGACAGGCTGAAAACCAGGGAAAGGATCTCCCCCCGGTCATCTCCCCCCAAGAGCCCCTGGTAGAGCCCTGCAGAAGTAGCAGCAAAAGGCTGCAGCAAGTGCTGCACTGTACCCATTCTCCCTCTCTTCCTCTCAGAGCCCTGCTGGAGCAGGACAAGAGAAGAGCTGC